TTGTTCATTTAATTTCACTCATATGAATTTTCAATTCATTTCTTCCATATCATCTTATTTCATGAAAGTTAGATGCACATGCATTAACTTGAATTCCTTTACAGATTTATTGAAAAGATCGTACCGGGAAAGCAGGAACACGACAAGCAGTTCTGCCACGGTGTTTGGGTGCAAGACGGTGAGCATGTATCCTCCATATGAATAATTTCAGATTTGATTTTTATGGTCATTAATTTTAGGGATTTTGATGTATTGTGTTTATAGATTTAAACTGTTCCTCATTGGAATCCGCGCTGATGCAGAAATTACGTCCTCTCTTGACCGGTTACATTCTCGTCACACCACCATCGCCAGTTGTTGAAGAGATGATAGATGTCGTGAGTATTATCAATACGACTTCGCAAATCCCGAACATCTTTTCTACCAAAAAATGATCAAGAATTTGCAATTTTGTTGTTTATCCATCCGAAATCCTTCTAAATGACTTGTTTCTCATTTCAGCTAAACAATCCTCTGCGACTAGCGGATTTTATACGTCAAAAATTCTACGAATATCCAGAGATTGCAGACGACCTCCAGACGGCTTTTTATAACAGTGAACTGCGCGCTGCCACTCTTGTATGTTTCATATTCTTTGATTTTGGGTTGAAGAGTTATTGTCTGCGAATTTCTTTTTTGCTAAGCCAAAGTGGTTCATGCACAAAAAAAATTTTCTCTTATTTTGTGGTATCAATTTGCATAAAATCAAAAAAAAAAATAAAACTCTTCTTTGATTTGAGAATTTCATTAATTTCATAAACTATTTGAATTTTTTGGAACTATTTTTTTGATGAACGCTTTTGGTTTCTATCAGAATATCAGAAACAACAAAACTGAGTTGTCGTAGGAACCACAAATCATATTAGGAATTTTGATGAAGATTTTTCTTTTTTTTTTTCTTCAGAACCTTCTGGCACTCGTCAAAGCCTTTGCCGAACACCAACAGGCTCCACAATGGGTGAAGACCCTGGAATTTGGACTCGAACACATTTTCGGTCCTCCATCGGATCCATACTCATTTGGTGCTATTACCAAGAATGTTACTGAAACTATCAACAAGTATACAACAGTACGTTACAGTAACTTCTCTTGCAATAATTAACATTTGCTAAAGCAATACCTTGCAGTGTTTCCTAATGGATCGCTTTGTCACTGTAGCAAATGAATCCGCGATGGAAGATGCCGCTGTATGCTTGACAGATTATCAACAGTATCTTACTGGCATTGTCATTGTCAATATGACTGACAATGCGACAGAATTTGAACCGTTTACAACTTACAAAATCCGCCATTTACCTGGTCTTGTTGACAGTGGGTTATTTTTGTCAAAAACCTTTACAGGAAGTAAATTCGTATATAAGCGCCATTTTTTTCCAGACACCTATTCATACGTGGACAGCCCTCGCCGAGTATTTGATCGTAACATGCCGTTCAATGATCTCAAGTACCTCACTTATGGATTCTCTTTTCTGCAAGGTAACAGCTCGACTAACATGATTGTTAGATGTCTACGTGTAATGGATTGAGTGTGTGCTGTGCATTTACACCAAACGCACAAAACCTACTTAAAGGCATTGTCTGCTTACCAAAAATTTGAGAAAGTATCAGTCATTTTGAAGGCTGAACGCTGTACATTGGCGGAGTCGAATAATTACTCGATCATTCGAACAAAACACTCCAATTCGAATCATTCAAAAATTCGATTATTCGAAATTCCAAAATTTCGAATGATTCGAGAGGAAATTCAAATTTTAAATAAATCAAAAATCCGATTACTCGAAAATCTTAATTTTTGAATTATTCGAGAATTCGAACAGTCGGAATTTGATTTCCGAACTATTCGCAAATTCGAAAATTCGGAAATTTCCATCAAACTATATTTCGAATATTCGAAATTATCAAAAGATTTCTGTATACTAAACACTATTATGCTTCATCCCACATTCCTAAGAATTCATTGAGAAGAGTAGACCAAAATCTATGAAACGATATTTTGCCCCATTGGCTCGGGCCTCGCTATTCTATTTTGTATTTTTTGGTTCTTTTCGAATAGTAAGCCAGCAATTTTCCTTGTTGTAATTTTCGTGGCCATTTCGCACTCTCCCAACACACTACTTTAGAAGCCGTCGATCGAGCTATAATAGCTATCCGTTCAAATTCGTCGTTATCCTTAGGAATGTATTCACAGCAAGAGCCATATCCATGTGTCTCATACGATACGTAAGTCTCGTGAATTAGATGTGATGTGCAAGCTCAGTAAGGTTTATTGCAGCTTCAACATCACCTACTTTCTTGCATTGTTTGTGATTTTGTCCTTTATCATACCAGCTGCATTACTGGTGAAAAATATCGTTCACGAAAAGGAGCTTAGACTTAAGGTTAGAACAATTTCTTAAGATTTCTTATTTTCTCCTACGATTTTATGCTTTAAGGAGCAAATGAGGATTATGGGACTAGGAGATATGGTGCATTTATGGTCATGGGCAATTATCTCATTAACGCTAAACATTGCTAGCACTTTTGCTATCTGTTTGATCATAAAGGTAAGCTTTCTCAGCTTTAGTCATGATGCAGCCTGAATTAGAGGATCTAAAAGTCTCTCACAATTATTCTTCTAAGTCTTGTTCTCGAAAACTACAGTGATAGATAATCACCAGCTCCTTAACCTCTACAGAACCATAGCATTCCAGCAATTGAAAATTGGCGAGTAAGGGGCCAAAATAACAAGTCAAAATAAACTTTTTAAAAAGGGTAATTGTAGTCCCTTAATTCTAATGTGTCACTCGTTTTATCGCAACTACGCCACATGTGATTAACTTCTTCAAAAAACGCCTGAATTAAGTCACTTCAGGTACCTATTATTAACCTTATTAATTAACCTATCATTATTAAATTAGGTGATTCAGTGAAGAAATGTATACCATACCTTAGTAACATCAAATATATATTACTATATATATTTTATTATATATAGTAATATATATTATATATATTAATATATATAATATTATTATTATATATAGTAATATATACTATATATATTATATATATATATAT